TTCAATTTATGTCCATTTTGTTAAGTTGTATTTTTACAGAAAGGTGTCAATTTTATCTAAGATGTCAAATTTATTGACATATAATTGATTATAATATCTTACTATCTTTTTGATCTCTATGACATGTAGTGGTGATACCTTTTTTTTTTCTGAAATTCCTAATTTGTCTTTTCTCTTTTTTTTTCCTTGATTGGTTTACTAAAGATTTACCAATATTAATCTTGTCAAAAAAATCACAGTTGTGTTAATTTTAAAATATTGTATATCTTTTTCTACTTCTATAATTTCTGCTTATTTTTGCTTTTTGTCTTCTTATCTTTTTTCTTAATTATTTTTATTTATTTATTTATTTTGAGATAAGATCTCCCTCTGTGGCGGCCCAGGCCAAAGTGCAGCGGTGTGGTGTGATCTTGGCTCACTGCAACCTCCATCTCCCAGCTTCAAGTGATTACCATATTTGGATTTAATTTGCTGATTATTTTCTAGTTTGAGTTGGAGGTTTGAATCATTTACTTTCAACATTTCCTTTTTTCTACTACATACATACTAAAAATATAAATTTCCCTGTAAGTATTGGTTTAGTTTCCATCTCACAAGCTTTTACATATTGCATTTTCATAATCTTCACACTTACCTCAACATATTTTCCCATTTATAATTTTTTCTTGCACATGTTATTTAGAAACACTTTCGCTAATTTACAAACATTTGAAAATCTCATAGGTATCTATTTTTGAATCCTAATTTTATACTTCTCAGAATATGTACAGTAATTCTAGTCCACTGATATTTATTGACACATAATTTATGGCCAAGATAAATTCTATGTTGTTAACTGTCCCATGAGCACTTATAAGAAGGACCCGTATACATTTGAAAAGAATGTAGCTGTTGGATGAAATACTGTATATTCATCAACCAGGTAAAGTTGTTTAATCATATTTTTCAATTTCTTTGTTGACTGTCATCTTCCTAAAATTATTTTCCAATAATGATTTTTGGATTTGTCTATTTATCCCTTGAGTTTTGCCTGTTTGCTATACAAAATTTGAAGATGTGTCCAGTGCCTACAAATTTAAGATTGGTGTAACTTTTTTTTTTTTTTTTTTGAGGACAGAGTTTCACTCTTGTTACCCAGGCTGGAGTGCAATGGCGCGATCTCAGCTCACTGCAACCTCCACCTGCCAGGTTCAAGCGATTCTCCTATATCAGCCTCCCGAATACCTGGGACTACAGGTGCATGCCACCATGTCCAGCTAAGTTTTTGTATTTTTAGTAGAGATGGGTTTTCACCATGTTAGCCAGTATGGTCTTGATCTCCCGACCTCGTGATCTGCCCACCTTGGCCTCCCAAAGTGCTGGGATTACAGGCATGAGCCACCCCGTCTGGTCAACTTCCTTTTATCATTAACAGATATCCCTCTTTATCTCTAGCGGTAATTTTTGCATTAAAGTCTACTTTGTCTGATATTAATATAGTTATAGCTTTTAGTTAATTTTTGCATGGTATATCAATCTCTAACATTTTACTTTCAATCTTTCTCAGTCTACATAGTGTATCTTAAATGTTAAACTTAGTAAAGTATCTTAAAACCTACTATATTTAAACTTACTACAATTGGTTATCTGTACCCAATCTGGCAATCTTTTAATAGGAATGTTGAAACCACTTATACTTAATATAATTACTGCTATAGTTTCTTATAAGTCTACAATTTTAATTTGTTTTCCATTTATCACACCTATTCCTTGTTCCTGTACTTCTTTTTACTTTCTTTTTAGTCAATCAAGTTGTCTTTTAAATTATTTTCTCCCTTATTAGCATTTCAATTGAACTTATTTTATTATTTTAATGATTATTCTAAAGATTAGAAAATACATGTTCGACTTATGTCAGTCCTTTTTAAATTAGTAATTGTAACCTTTCCTAAACAATGTTTCTAAACAGCTTACTACACAGTGGTGGGAAACAGTGAGTGTTTCTTTCATTACCTTGCTACACTTGAGTATAATTTGGCCTTAGCTTGAGGAGAGTCTACTTTTTCAGGTCTTGAATGCAGCCCCCGGCCACTGTTTTCAAAACCCACCCCTTGTGAGTCAGGATTAATAAGCATTGGATCAGCCTTTGACAGAGCCAGTCACATTTAAAACAGCCTAAACCTCTTGTCTGTATTAGAACCCAACTTTAAAATGTGTATCTTACTAGGATATAACCTTTTAACACAGATATTGTATAATTCCACCACTCCACATGCCTACCTTCATGAGGCATGACTTCTGCTGTCTGGTATTTACAGTTACATGTGAAAAGAGAGTTATGCTGGCAAGCAAGGGAGTGGAAGGTGAGGACTGGGGGATGGGTGGGAGGGGACATCACAATCCCTAATGAGGCTAATATCCGCCCTTTACAGCTTTGTAATTACTTCCAATTCATGGTATCTTTTTAACTGTCTTTTTTTGAATGTAAGATGAAAAGGGTTAAAACTACAGGCTTAAACTAGTTTTATTAATATCTGAACTCTACCAGTCAATTTCATGTTTTAAGAAAATGCATGTCAGCTGATTGCAATGCTAGCTCATCAGGATGATAACCCATCCAGGGAATCCTGGTGAAACTACTTTATTGCCAGTTCCTTCAAATTCAGGAAGAGACATACGCTTCCTTGCGTGTAAGCATTAGTTCACATTCAGATTAAACTGCCTTCCAACCGGCTGCCCAAGGGATGATGCTGAGATGGCAAATTATCAGATACGTATCTTTTATTCAGATATCCTTAGGAGCACGTGTACATGTTAAAGGAAATCGCTTTTATTTGCTCCAAGCTACTGCAGGAAGAACTAGAATTAAAAAGAGTAAACCCAAAGGACTTTGGGGCCTTAAAGACATCCTATAACCTATATCCCAACTAAATATTTGTATTCAAATAAAAAAGCACTGTTAGGGTTCTTTCTTCATGAAGATTAATTTTCTATTTTAACTAGAAATATTTGATACATCAGAATCTTCAAGACACTTTTGGCTAACAAAAGTGCCAAGTGCTGGTATTAAATATATCCACAACAGCCTTCGAAGTTTACACGTTAACGCAGGTCATGATTTTAAGGGTTTTTTTTCCATTCAAACTGAAAGACTGATAAACAGCCCTTGAGTGGTCTCCAGATAGGCTGCTGAAGTTAAGGAATGTCCCGCATGCATTTAGTTAGTTAAAAACATGCTGAGTCTTACATAATTACTGTGTTGAAGCAATGGCAGTGGTAGAGCAATAGGTCAGATAACTACTGTGGTTTACTCAATGCAAGGCACAGCCTGAGATAATATAAAAATAATTATATGCACAAACCAGATTTTCCAAACTGCTTATTTAGTTTTCTAGGTCAGTATAGCTGGTCAAATCCCTCTGAAAGTTAAGTTTTCCAGCTGACCGTGAATGGTTAGTTCGCTTACATTATTTCTGTAAAAGGCTGCATGTATTTAGATGTTCAAAGGACTATAATATTTATTCTGACTCTCTGGAGGTTTTTTTCTCCTAATAAGTACTGTTAGTATGCTGGGGAGAAAGAGCAGATTAAAAGCTGTACTCCTGTAAAAGCTTAATACCATCTTCATTACCGTGTAGTTAAAACTTCAGGTACATACAAATAAGTTCCAAACTGCCTAAGACAAAGTTCACTCAACCATGCAAACATAGCATTCTCGTTTCATAAGTATAAATTTCCTCTTCATTCTGATTCATTTGAGGCTCAACACTCTGCACTAAAAAATTGCCACAGTATTATTTTACCTTTATAGAAGAAAAAAATGATAGTATCATTTTTTTTGGTGATAATATCATTTTGGTCCTTGTGATTTCCAAGCTAGATCAGAGGTTTCAGAAATTTAAAGCATCCGCTATCTTAAATCAACATAGATCTGAGCTAGCTCACTGAGAGGCTGACTGGGGCAGAGAGAAGAGCTCAGCCCCAACGTGACAGGAAGCAGGAAGAAGGGCAGAGGCCAAAACCTTAGCAGAATACTAAGCTAAAAAGCGACAAAGAAAGAAATGTAATTTGATAATGGATCTTATTTGAAGATTTGCACCAAGTGATAATAGACAGTTTTAGGAAATATGGCCAGTGGGTTTCAAAATGGGCACATTTGCCTATTAGGAAGACATAGACTTGATATAGTTTTTGGCAAGCTTCCAACCTTGTCAATTATCTCAATCCTAGTGCAGTTTGCAATCCTGGTGGGATTTCCACCTACCCGAGTGTCCTCTACCAATTTCCCCAACCCTAATTGTCTTTTCCTTCCTCTCAGATATACTGCAGAGTCTCCGTGTCTCTGGAAATTAATCACTATTTGAGAGATTAATTGGAATTTTTAGGCTATTAATTGTAATTTCCTCTTCCTCTGGCTTTTTTAATTTTGAGGAAAATCTACAAGGACTCTTTCAGCAATGAAAACGTACACTAAAAAAAAGAAGCTCCAGCCTCTCTCAACAATAGCTGCTTCTCTGATATTTCTACTATACGGCTTGTCAGTCAATACACCTGGAGAGTTACTTAGGCTTAGTTACAAACTTCACCTGGGGATTTTGAGAAATTGGCTTACATAATAAGATTAATTATATATAACTATTTAAACGTTAAGTGATATCATTTCCACTCTTAAAAAGAGCGCGTTCATATTCAAAATCAGTCACTTAAGGAAAAGGAGTGCATAATTTAAAACCAAAAGAAAAGACAGTAGCTAAAACTTTGCCCCATAGGTTATGGTCTTTTGAACATTTTCTTTCCCTGAGAAACTGAATCTGCCTTATTAGACATACACTTATGTGTGACATCCCACAAAGACATACACACACATTCACACATACTCACACACTAGAGACCTAACTTTCCAGCAGAAGCAAATCCTTGCTCTGGAATGACATAGCAACAAGTACTTTTAATTCCTGTTGAACCAGAAGTAAATGTCTCCTCGCACGAAACATAAAATTGCAACTCAGAAGAAAACACCTTAGGAAACAGATGAGTGTGCTGATTTTAAAAATGCTTTCCTGGTATTCAGACGTTACAACTACAGGCCTGGCTCCCGGCTAAGTAAGATGCCTAATGGGGACCTCCGGGAGGCCTCCCAAGACCGTGACATTTACAGAAGTAGAAAGAATGAGAAGTTGGGAGTGCCTCAAGTAGCTAGAACCACATACTCCAGGAAAAAAATGGACCAAATGCAGAGGACAGCCTCAGCCTTGTTTTCTGTCTAGGGGCTGTACCTGTGCCACTGTAAGAAACCCCAGGCAGAACTTCTGCTGGCATCTATGAGAAGGCACAAAAATCAAAAATCTCAGACTGAGTAACGACTTGAGGGAAGAGTATAAACTAAAATATTTAATTGTTAATGACTTCAAAATTTCTGCAGAGTTTCATGAAGTCCAGATTCACTCTCAAACTTTGTACTGTGAGCTCCTTTCCAGTGAAGTTCATGTCTCCATTTATTCAGTCATTCATCCAAAAAAAAAAAAAAAAAGTTTCTAAGAAGCTCTGATGTGGCAGTCTTCTCTGCTAGTAGTGGTGACCCAAGGATCCTTCCCTTTCTGGAGTGACAGTCCACCGAGAAGAGACTGACTAAAGAGTTACAAGCAGACTGCTACCTAACTCTTTACATCCTCAAAGCCAAGCATGGTGGCTGGCACCCACGCTTTATGAAAGAGAAATGAGAAAGAAACAAGGAGAAAAGTAAGGTTCAGGTTATTGCCATCTCCCTGCCAAGTTTCATAGATAAAATATTTGCGTAATTAACTAAGTAAGGGACATACAATGGTAGGTTCCTATATAACATACATTCAACTGTAAAAATATTTCCCACCTCCGCCTGAAATCATGACTATTAATCAACTTCAGAAATGACAAAATTTTCAGTAATGTAGCCTAGATCAGTTAGTTTTTGGCCAATAAACTGTTGGTGGAGATTAGGAAAGAGACCACAGGACGATGAGCATCACGACATTGACTAAGGATCATAAATTCATGGAACAGAACCAATTCTGTAAGAGCTGAGATTAACTTGAAGGTGCCTATCAAAGAGTTGATACTCATCCACAAAGGCTTTCCATCTTGGTAGAGATAAGGCTTCCTAGAAAAGCCAGATTTTAATGAGGTTGCAACATATGAATAAAAGGGAATGATGGGCCAGAGGACTAGGGCGAGGGTACACCAGCATCTGCATAGCAAAATAAGTAAAACATTAACGAAAATGTGACGGCTGCTGCCGGATGCCAGGAACCATGCTAAGTCACTGTGGTGGGACACGACTAAGACCTAGGGCCTGACTCTAGGTGTTTGCTGGTGATTACTCAAGAGCCACAGAAAAAGAGGCCATATTTGAGCATAAATAGAAGTCTTAAAAGGGAAATAGGATCAAACTGACTCACATTTCTTTACCAGGGGGCTTTAGCAGCATCCGAAAACACCATCCTTGGAATCAGGAGGGAGAAAGCATGACCACAGCTTCATTCCATTAAGGTCACTTGTGTTTCCCTTCTGAGGCTAATGAATAAAGATACTGCTGATCAAACTTAAAAGGGCAATTATTGCTTGTGTGAATGTATGCACAAAGATTACGGTAATGCAGTATTCCTTTAAAAAAAAAAAAAAGTAAAAAAGAGTCCCTCTCTTTTAGAGCTACTATGTGAAATATTTACAGATGAAATGATGCCAAGCCTGGGATTTGCTTCAAAATAATCCTGGGTATGCAGTGGAGTGAAGGTAAAACCAGCCCATGATGCAATCATTGTTGAAGCTGGATGGTAAGAGGTTCATTATACTTTTCTCTTTACTTTAAATATATTTGAAATGTTCTTTATAAAAAGTTATTAAAATCTACATTTGTAATAAAAGCCAGCTGGATATGTAGGGAAAGATGAAACTTTTTAAATGATCATGCAATAAAATAGTGCTACTCGGTGTGGCAAGTTAAAAAAATCAACAAAGGCTGCTTGAACATTACTAAATAATACTATGGGGCCTATAGAGTGTTCTGTATACCACAACCATGCCTGGAGCAGGCTAACTGAATCTGGTACATTATTGGAGTTCTAGGCCCATTTCTAATCTGTTTTCCAAAGTGCCAGTCACCACTCTATAGTAGATCCAGAAGTCAACTTGTGGGCCCTGAGAAGTTTTAGATAAATGACTAGAAATACAGTAGAAAAGACAGGATCAGGGCATATCACACATACTGGATGAACTCTCTTTGTGGAACGTGTCTGTGTGCGTGCGCACCATGAGCATTTCTGTTTAGTCTACTCTCAACATAATAGTCAAAGTGGGTCTGTTAAAATCTAAGTCAGATCAGCCAGGTGCAGTGGCTCATACCTGTAATTCCAGCACTTTGGGAGGTCGAGGCAGGTGGATCACCCGAGGCCAGGAGTTCAAGACCAGATTGGCTAACATGGTGAAACCCTGTCTCTACTAAAAATAAAAAATAAAAATTAAAAAAAGCTGGGCATGGTGGCAGGCACCTATAATCCCAGCTACTCAAGAGGCTGAGGTGGGAGGATCACTTGAACCTGGGAGGCAGAGGTTGCAGTGAGCCCAGATCGCATCACTGCACTCCAGCCTGGGTGACAAGAGCAAGACTCCGTCTCAAAATAAATAAATAAATAAACCTAAGTCAGATCATGCCACTGTCTTCTGGAACCCTCCAGGGACAACCTATCTTACTCAGTGTAAAAGCTGAAGCCCTTACAGTGGCCTACGAGGCCTTCCATGATCTGCCTCCTCCTCCCTGTCATCCTGCTTACCCGCTTCTCACTCCACTGGCCTGGTTTCTGTTCCTGGAACATACCAGGCACACTTCCACATTGGGACTCTGCAACTGCTGTTCCTTCTGTCTGGAATGCTCTTTCTCCAAATGTCTGCATGACTGGCTCCCTCTCCATCAAGTGCCACCTTCTCAGTAAAGCCTCCTCTGACCACTCAACTTAGAATACAGACCCCCTTACGCCCAGCATTTCCTATCTTCCTGCTTTATTTTTCTCTGTAGAACTTATCACCCTCTAATACACCATATAAATAGATATAATTATATATAAAAGATACACATTTATATATACAAATTATATATAGTTCCTTTGGTTTACTATCTGTCTGTATTTAGAAATTCCACGGAGTCCAGAATTTTTGTCTGTTTCGTTCATTGCAGTACCTCTAAAATCTAGAACATGGTAAATCAGGACATATTGAATGAATTATGAATGTGTGCATGGTGAGTGTGGGTTGCGTGTGTGTGCTGGGTTTCATAGTGTAGGTCACGTTTCAAAAGGCTTGTATGATACTGCCCTGGAGCATACTTGGACTACCTCTGGGCTTACTAAGAGTAAAGACTGAAAAGCAAGTATAGTACCCAACAACAGACACCCAACAGTCCTCATGTCTTACAGGCTCGGTGCCTGGAACAAATGATGCGACTGGTAATTGCTATTTGAAATATGTGTGTATGAGGGTGTAACTGATTTACATACAACAGCGTTGTTTCCTTGGGGGACCACCAAGGCACCATAAATTGGCAAGAGGAAATAGGCAGAATCAGAAAAATCATAAAATTTTTAAGACTCTGAGAGATGATCTGGGCAAAACTAATAATTCTACGGATGAGCATCAAAGTCACAAAATGATAATGTAATTTGCCCCTGGACACACAAAAAGTAAATGCTGAGACAGAATGAGCGTAGATTTAGGTCACATGACTCCTCATCCACTGATCTTTACACACCCTGGCCCATCATAACAATGCAAAACAGGAATCTACTCCAAAAGCCTCTGCCTGTTCCCTCTTCCTTGGGAATAACCTGAAATTATTTCTCCAATTAGGCACCAATACATTTATTCCACTGGACTTGACAATTTGCAGGAATCTGTTTTAAAAACAGAGCTGCTAATGATCACGATTTCTCATAAATCAAAGCCTTAAAAATTCCCTCCTATAGCAACTGGCGGTGGGTTGACTCATCTGCTATGATTCTCCGCCTTTCTAATAATATAGTTCCAACTTACATCAGGCCCAGGGATGTTAAAGCCTGTCACGAATCTAAACCTTCAGCCCTCACTGTCCTACTTCTCATTAGAGCTAAAGACCCTAACCAGTTTTGAATTAATGGATTTATATATTTTCATAACCACAAAACAAAGTGCTTCAAACCATAGAGCAGTAACAAGTGAAAACAACACATGAGTTGTCAGTCATGTTAACGTAGTGGCGTAGCAGAACATTTTTCAGGGAGTGATATTTTTACAAAATGAATAGTTACACTAATTGCTTGTTTCTCAAGTAAGACTATAATAAGCTTTTTGACCATGAGAGGCCATGTATTTTGGAACTCTCAGTGTTTTGTTGGTGACCTTAGAGGTTCTAAGGGCTGAGGACATTTATGACATAATTATGGCAGATGCTCTTGGTTCCCTCTTCCCCCTTAACAGAACCCTGTTCTGTTCAGGCCTCTTCACTCCTTCAGGAGAGGCTAGTCCATCTGTGCTCCAGGAAGGGGGTCACAACTGGACTAAGTGCATCAGGGTAATCCTATTCCCTTGCCCGTGATTGGTTCACATGTAAGCATGTGACAAAACTGTGGCCAATGAGGCAAAGGGAACCTTGCTGGTGGGTGGGAGGGGGGCAGGTGTGTCTGAGAAAGTCTTTCTTCTCTTCCACAGGGCCAGGAGGAAGAGATTTCCCCGTCTCTGTTTCTAGATACTATGCCAGGGGACTGCTGTTGTCATCTTGACACTGTAAAGACAGTCAGTCTGAGGGAAAGATCCCCCAACCAAGAGGGCAGAGCTGAGAGAAGCAGACAGAGCTAGATACTGCAGTGTCTACAACCATGGTACCTCAGCACTTCTTAGAGTTTTCTGTATTAGCGGCTGAAACGTCCTAACCCTTACAATAATTGCATCCTGGAATGGTCTGGTCAGGATGTGAGAAGGTGTGAATGTGTGATTACATGTTGGTGTTAGCAAGAGAAACGTTTGCGTGAACAGCAGGTCCCAGGAACAGTGAGTCTTTTGTTAGAGATGGCTTAGCCTGTGACATTAGAAAGCAGGAGGAACAAAGTCTAAAATGTGAGATGTCAGGGGGGCTGCAGAGGCCAGCGCAAGGCACAATACCACCCCCACATGTGCTGCTGTCCTAGGTGGCCCAGGGCAGCCAGATTTCACCTGAGGGAGGACCCAGAACAACAGAGCCACTGTGGCCCGTGCCCACTTCCTCTAGGGGTTGCCAGGAAAACACTCTGAATGAGATCTTAAGGAAGAAGTTCCAGTACTTGCTTTGTCTTCACACTCCCATGAATGGGCATTTATTTATATTTGGTGGGGGTGGCTGTGTCAGTTCCCTACGGAAAAAAGGAGCAAAGGCCATGACCAACTTGAAGGGGAGCCAGCCATCCTATAAATTCACGCGGGCCATTGGATACTGAAGCCTGCCCAAGAAAATAGCTACCCAGGGACTCAGTTCCCCAAAGATATCAGTCTTTACCTCCATCAGCTCCAGGCTAGGGCCAATCTTCCTCCAATTAACAACGTATATCTACCTAGAGGAGTCTCCGTACTTTGGAGGAAGAAGAGGACTTTTGCAACAAGCTAGCACTCAAAACCAGCAAGTGTTAAAAAATGCTCATGAGCTAGGTCCATTATAGTGAACAATATATGGTTCTGGAAATTTTCCTATTTATAATCACTCATTTTCTATGTGATCTGATCAAACACATTTTTTTCTTTACTTGTTTGAGGTAAAAGTAAATATTATCAGAACCTCTGTGACAGCTACAAGCATGTAATACGTTAGTCTTTCCAGCAAAGTCTTTCTAGTACAATATGGTGATCTGTTGTGATCAAAGGGTGTCGGCTCTTTCATTAGAAACAACAAAAGAGCCAGCAGATGATATCCTTGGAAACGTCTGTACGAGCATCCATCTAGTGGGGGCATATGGAGGCAGCCACAGATGCATCAATGCACGAATAATATTCGGGAGCATCAGGCACACAGTAGGGAAACTTGGTTCCTGGATGATTCACACTGTACTTTGAGGTCATAGAGTTGTGCCCAGGGTTTAAAAAGCTGGATAAAAATCTAATTAACTAGTCATGAGAAATGCACCAATTGCTTTGCCCAGCAACAGCAGAGAGGACCTGCTGCTCTCCCTCCTTCTTCAGTGAAAAGGAGGGTGCCATGGCCTTTCAGGGATAGGAGCGAAGGGAGGCATTTCTCTAGTGGAGGCTGAGCTAACCAGCCCCAGAGAGGAATTCTCTATGGAACTATCTGAGAAGGTCAGGGGCTGGTTGCAGAAAAAGATGAATGTGGAAATGAAAATGGAAAGAGAAGGGGCATCCCATGTGTTCACCACATTTCAGTGGATATGGATTGAAATGTCTCCCATCTGATTACAAGCATCCTGTCCAGGAAGGACTTGACCTACGGGTTTTCTTCTGGCTGCTCACCTTATGACTATTTCACCTTCTCTTTCATGCATCAATTTCTTTGCCTTCTTAAAATAATGGCTTTATTGAGAAGTAAACCACACACCCTACAATTGACCTGTTTAAAAGCAAACAATTCAATGACTTTTAGTTCATTCACAGATAGTGGTGTAACTATTAACTATTACCACAACCAAATTTAGAACAATTTCATTACGGCAAAAAGAAAACTCATATCTATTAGCAGTCACTCCCTATTCTACTCCAAATCTCTCAGCTGCAGGGGACAGCTCATCTACTTTTTGTCTCTAGGATTTCCCTATCTTGAGTGTTTCATATGCGTGGAATCATACAGTATGCAGTCTCTCACTTCTTCACTTAACATACTGTTTTCCAGGTTCATCCCTGCTGTAGCATGTACACAGGATCACTTTTTAAAACTTTCCCTGGCCAGGCGTGGTGGCTCATGCCTGTAATCCCAGCACTTTGGGAGGCCGAGGCGGGCAGATCACAAGGTCAAGAGATCAAAACCCTCCTGGCCAACACGGTGAAACCCCTTCTCTACTAAAAAATACAAAAATTAGCTGGGTGTGGTGGCGCGCACCTGTAGTCCCAGCTACTCAGGAGGCTGAGGCAGGAGAATTGCTTGAACCCGGGAGGCGGAGTTGCAGTGAGCCAAGATCACACCATTGCACTCCAGCCTGGTACCTGGTGACTGAGCAAGACTTTGTCTCAAAAAAAACAAACAAAAAAACAACCTTTCCCTGTAGCTCTCCATGTTGAACTCTAGCTTTATCACTTGTTTCTTCAGTATTCACTACTCACTCCTGCAATGTGCTCGTGAACCACAAATCAAGGTAAAAAGTCCTCATTCAGACACATTCATGTGCTTCTGCTCAGGGTCTCCTGTTGCAAGTAAGTTAAAAATAAAATTAGTAAGTTAAAAATAAAATTTCTAGGCTGGGCGCAGTGGCTCACACCTGTAATCCCAGCACTTTAGGAGGCCAAGGTGGGTGGATCATGAGGTCAGGAGTTCAAGACTAACCTGGACAAAATGGTGAAACCTCATCTCCACTAAAACATAAACACTGACTGGGTGTGGTGGCATACACCTATGATCACAGCTACTTGGGAGGCTGAGGCAGGAGAATCCCTTGAACCCAGGAGGCGGACATTGCAGTGAGCCGAGATCATGCCACTGCACTCCAGCCTGGGGGACACAGCGAGACTCTGCATCTGGGGCAGAAAAAAAATTCTAAAAGCTATTGAAGGCATGTGGCTAAGGTAAACTGGTGACAGGGTCCTTGCAGAACTGATTTACATACAAAAGATAAAGAAGGGGCCACATTTGCACTCCTATGACCGTTACTGAGTGCCTGGACATGCCAGGCACTGCTAGGCACCAAAAATCCAGCAGTAAACCAAACAAAAATAGCTGCCCCTGTGAAGCAGGTATTTTAGTGATCCATGATAAAATCATTTCAAAAAGAAAAGCAAAGGAATAAGCTGAAAAGTCAGAGCAGTGGTTACCTTTGGAAAGAGGGAATGAAATAAGATGGGGAAGGAAAGAGAGAAGAATACAGAGGAAGATGCAAAGCTAGGCAATGTTCCTAAACTGGGTGGTGGCTTTCCTAGTAATTATGTGGCTATGCTTCATAACTTGATGCCCATTACTGATATTCTCTTGTATATATTGCATCTTACCTAAAATGTGTATAAGTTTTTTTTACCTAAAAAAGAACCATTCCTCTGGATGGGAACGTGTAGCAGTGATATTCCTTGGATTGACTGAGCTAATTTAAAATGTTGGGACTGCAGGACACACATTGGACAGAGTAGAGAAATCCTGCATTGGCACGATTACACGGCAAGGATTTGAAAGGCTTATGAAGAAGGGCAAAGTAAGGTATTTAGGAGAAACTTTTCCAGTTATCTTAGAAGATCATGATCTCTGAGTGAGCACTTATCACTCAGGAAAGGAAACTGTGGTGTATGTTATTAGAACATGAGCTTCATAAGATCAGGAATTTTTATGTTTGGTTCACAGATTTTCAAGTTTTCTTCACAGACATTCACACATTTGATTCTAACATCGAGTGTTATTAGCCCATTTTACGGATTAAAAGATAGAAACTCTGAGACTAGTTGGTGCTGGTGTTTGGACCAGATCCTCAACTTCCCAATGCTTGTAACACAATGCCACCCTTGGAGTCTGTGGTTCAAGTGAACCCACATTAATTCACAAAACCCAAACATAGATGCTAAAAACAAGTTTCAGAGAGTTAAATTTAAAGCAATAGGAAGAAACAGCATCTGTTCTATAGGTAGTAAACCACTGAAACTCATTGCTATAAGAAGGAGCACAAGCTAAAACTACAGATGGATTCAGATACATTTACATTAACTCCTGAATGACAGCTTTACACTCAGCTATTTATGAAAAGTCAGATGTCTGCAGGGCATCTCCTCCCTGAAAGGCTGTTGTGCATTTTTACAAAATACCCTTCATGCTATTACTTTAGAATACAGAACCAAATAAGTACTGTGGCAATTACTATGTTCTTAAGCCAAATGACATCGTCTAACTCAAAATCATGTCATACATGTGTAATTGCCTAAGATTTGCGGTAATTCTATTCCTAATCTTAATCTCATATTAATTATTTCAGGAGCATTTACAAAGCTTCTGTCAATTGCTTTTTCCTCTGAAGAATTCATATTCTGAAAAAAGGCATGTGGATTTGTTTGGTGGCTTCAAGCAAGCATAGGACCTGGGCTCTCCTGAGACCAAAGTTCAACGCTAGGGTGTAGTGACATCACATGGAACAAAAACTTCTGAGCCCTGGTGTATCTTCAACCCTAGGCACTGATCATGAGGGAGATCCAGAGAGGATAGTTGGCTAGAGCTAACCAGGCACCCTACCAGAAATTAACAACTCCAAGGGTATATACTGAAAGAGAATAGTGCTCTCTGTGCATATGAAAGTCAGCAAAATGTATTATTTACCAAACAAGCATTTGGTAATTTAGTAATTAGTATGATTTACTGGATCTCACTGTCTCTGAGGACAAGCACTGTAAAACAAAATGGCTAATTTTTTTTTTCATAAAGAGAATTGAAATGAACAAGTTAAATCAATATTAGGCAGCCAAATTATGCGTATTAATATCTACATATCATTAGCATAATCCCAAGTGAATTATTTTGTTGCTAAAAGTAATGCTAGGCCTGATTTACCATTTCCCTTGATATTAACTTATATGTGATATAAATGTGGTAAGAAATAACTTGTGTTTGGAACCCAATCCACCTCCACTTTCTGTGTATACATAAACACAAACACACATACAGACACACACATGTGTGTGCATGTGTGTAAACACACATACTTATCTGTAGCAGGGAATCGTGGTACAAAGGCTATCAGACAAGAGTTTTCTACACACATAGAAAAATGTGTGCTTTGTTTCCTCAGCTTCTCTTTCCAGCTTCATGGCATTGCAGGCTTTCTTTGGAAAGAGGGGTGTACATAAACCTAACGAAAATATGTGAAGCCTAGAATACACTGAAGCCAAAACAAAACAAAACAAAAAATCTGTCTAAACAAGAATCTGACAAATATCCCAACCTGTTCCTCTTTATAGAACTTCAATGGAAAATCACTGTAAAGATTCACAAAAATTAAGGACATCTCCCAATGTCTGGGACTAAAACCAAACAGGGACCCGAGAATCAGGGCTGAGCTGCGTTGGTAAGTTTCTGCCTTGGTGAATGGAAGGTAAGCAGATGGGGCTACAGCCACCGAGCAGTGTAGCAGCAGGTTTTCTATGGCAGATTCTGCGATCAAGGCTAGAACATTCTCACTGGAGTCATCCAGACCAGAGCTGCCCAATACAAATATAACATATAACATAAGCCATGTATGTAATTTCAAATATTATAGTAGCTACCTTAAACACATTTTTAAAAAATAAAAAATAATTTTTAAAATATATATTTAGCTTAATAGAGCCTTTTTTTTTTTTTTTTTTTGAGACAGAGTTTTGCTCTTATTGCCCAGGCTGGAGTGCAATGGCAGGATCTCAGCTCACTGCAACATCTGCCTCCTGGATTCAAGCAATTCTTGTGCCTCACCCTCCCGAATAGCTGGGATTACAAGCATGCAGCACCACACCTGGCTAAGTTTTGTATTTTTAGTAGAGACGGAGTTTCACCATGATAGGCTGATCTCAAACTCCTGACCTCAGGCGATCCACCCGCCTTGGCCTCCCAAAGTGCTGGGATTATAGGCGTGAGCCACCACGCCCGGCCTAGATAAAAACAAAATACTATCACCTAAACACATATTCAATATTTAAAAAATTATAAATCAGATATTTTATATTTTTTGGCTTTGTACTAAGTGTTTGAATGCTAATGTGTATTTTACACTTGCAGCACATCTCAATTCAGACTAGCCATGTTTCAAGGGCTCAGAAAACCACGTGTGGCCATCACATGGACAGTACAGGTCTAGGTCTTGAGAATCAGGTCCTTAGAGGTCTAAGGCAGCTCCACCCTCTGACAGATACTAGAGGAGGTCTACTGGGACAGCCACGCTCCCTACTTCCTGTTTCTTTGCCGTCCCAACACAGTCTCTTATGCTTATTCCTTGGAAGCAACATCATATAAGAAAGCCCATGTGGCATTCCATAAAGTAGTAAGGAAGTACTAGGTTTCACTTCCTTGAAAAAAACAATACCCAGCCCCTACTGAGTGGGCAAAGGGCAATGATAGGACCCAATAAAAACCAGGAACTGGACCTCTGATGTGAAAAGAACTGTGTAAGGTTATCACCCAAGTGCTTCTGTGATTCATAGTGCCCTAAATCTATGATCGGAGTTATGTCAATAAACAGTAAGCCACACATGTAAGTCTTTTGCCTTACCATAGTTTCTGAGTCCAATGGCCTCAACATTCACCTCTTTCTTGACAGTTACTTGACTCTTTAAAGATACCTTCCACCTTCCCATTTTCTTGCACTTGAGGACGGTAACAGAAGTTAAAGAAGAACTGCTTCCTTTTCTTAGAAACTGTCACGTTCCTGCATCTTATTTGCATGCATTTCTCCCCAATTAAATGTACTCAAAATTCCAAAAGATAACTTTATTTTCTAAAAACCAATGCATTTGCTTTCCCCTGATGTGGGCCTTTTGTAGAAGCAAAAATCCGTCTAGCTAGCTGCTGATGGCCAGGTTGGCAGAAAATCTCTTTTAAATAACATGGCTTCTATATACCACTAGCAACCTCAGTCCACACAGTCAGTTTTCTTTATGATGTTTTTAAAAGAGATACAATGATAAGGTCCAACTTTTTTCTGGACACTTTTTTCCTCTTTGAGGGTGAAATTGGAACTCACTGTGGTTTATTTGAAAAAGAAATTGAGTTGCCATTAGGGAAACAACAAACCACTTTTTAAATAAAGCTTGAATCAAACCTCAGGACTAGAGCAGTGTACCCACATGTTTAATTACCTTCCCCAACATCAGCCTCCAGCTGTCATTCCACAGTTTTCCTCAAGGTTATCAAGAAATTACTTTTTTAAAAAGTCAACTTGCAAAATTAGTGAAAGATAACCTGAACAGCACAAGGAGCAAACACAGCAATGAGTGCGCACCAGATCCAATTTTCTCTTTTTAGCTTGTTGATTTTACATTAGTTATGTCTCTGTCTTAGAAATACTGACCTAGTGTACCAATGCTGTCCAAGAGAATTTCCTGTAAAAAAATGATAAAAATGTTTTGTATCTGTATAGTCCAATACAGCAGCCACTAGCCATGTGTGCTGCTGAGCACTGGAAATGTGCCCAGGGTAACTGAGTATTTTTACATTTAAATTTTAAAAGCCACATGTGGCTAGCAGTTACCACACTGGACAACACAGTTATACGCAGTTAGGGCAGACCTAGGCCACTTAAATCTTTGTGTCTTTATAGGCACAACAGCCTGGCAATCTGAGGCCCATTTAAAATATAAACCACTTTACGACTTCTTTCTTAAAAGTATTAAATAATTAAATAGAACAGCCTCCACAAGGCCAGACAGAAAAAAAAAAGTAACCTACAAGAAATTCTCTAAGGATGATGCTACTCTTTAGGATGAGCAGGAAGTGGGTGTGGGGAACATTAATGTCACAGGAGCTTGGGTCCTAGATGACGGTTCCATCTCTAGCTCTGCCGTCAGCTACCTGAGTGGCATTAGACAGTTTCTGAGTTCCTTGGGCTCTGATTTTCTTATACAATGTTCGAATCTGTTAAACAACTTCCAAGGTCCCTCCTTGCTTTCAGTCTAGTCAGTCCAGCTCTTATTTCTTGGGAGACTTAAATATTGGTTGATTTGAAATAATACCTTATGCTGCATTACAAATAGGCTGAGGTTGAGTGACTTTGACAGGCCAACATGTTGAAGCAAGGCAATGTTACAGTTAGACCATACTATACAGACTATATTCAAAGACTGGCCCCACAAAGGTGTACGATTAATTATCAATGAGGAGAAAAGCAGGTTATCTACACAAGCAGCTAGTAGCTGGCCCTCCCGGAATGCACAGATGAAAGGTCTGTGGCCACTTGATGACACACTCATCCCAGTTCTTCAACTTCACATCCCAGAGGCCAGCCACCTAGGTCCCTCTGCAGAGCATGCTACCTGGCCCTACCTAACTGCCGTTTCCTCTAGCCATGGAGACTTTAAATAAACCTCTGCATTTGTTAGTAGCTTGGAGACACATCAGTATGTTCTGTCACACCAACCAGGCTGTGCCAGAGACACAGGTACCCATCTTGATCCCTAACCTGAATCCATGTGAGAGACAGAATACCAGCTTCCTTTCCCATGGGCCAAAGGGAAGGAGAAACCGGAGGGTGCCTAGAGGATTTGCAAACTATCAACACTAAAGAAAACCAAATGTGGGATTCATGAAAACATCTCTAAATAGAAATCTGACCAAAACATATGAGAGAAGAGAAAGAGACAAAAGGTGGGGGGGAGGGAGAGAGAGAGAGAGAGAGAGAGAGAGAATGAGGGAGGGAAGAAGGAGAAAAGGTGGGTAGATGGAGGAGGGAGCAGAGGGAGGGAAGAAGTGGGAGAGGAAAGGGGGAAGGATGAAAGAAAAAAAGGGGGGGGAAGCCATTTTGTTTTGAAAATTAAATGACATATTTCAGAAGCCATGAAATGAGAATACATACATTCATAAAAGATAAATGATTGGTGGGTGATAGGGGATGCTATTAATCATATGTCTGTCTATCACTAGGTTCATGTCTTTTTCTCTGTAGCTGCCTTGACAGGAATCTTGATCTTCCGGCAGAAAACCCTTCCAAAACCTTCCAACATAACACCGCTCATGTATAGGTGTTCCAGACCGAATGTCCAGTTATTTCCACCATTGTGCAAAAACGGGAGTCCCTGCCGAGCAGCAGATGGCCCTCAGCGAGGCTGACACTCAGGCCAGGCCCCAGGTGGCAGCTCTCAGAACACACTGTCCAGTTAAACCCTGCATAGGCTAGCCACAGAAAATACCTGGTGTTCACATCCCCCAAAGGTTGGCCAAATGACAAGGGTCAAGCAGTACACTTCATGGGTTAGCAGGGAGAACCAGCATTTCAGCAGAAATACGCAAATCACTGAGTCCCCCCTGTCAAACATTGCAAATATGTAGCATGCTAAGAAAAAAATCTCCTTACCTCTCAGATTCTGTATCGCTTGGTTCATCTGAGTTGCAACACTGGACAATAAAATCTAATAAGTTAAAATACGGTGTGGAATGCTCAGGAGAAAAACAAAGGCTAGTGTTCCTCATCTGAGTGAATAATTTCTCTCAGTTTATTTTAGCTTTGCAAGTTATTTGTGATTATATTTTAAATCGGAATTTGTGCATGTGTGATTTAAAATAAAAAAGGCAATCAAGTCTTTCTGCCAATCTAGGTGATGTGAAATTTAATTATGGAGCAGTTATTTATTAAAACAAAGGCAAAGCAATTTTTTTACACATAATTGAATATTCCAGAAGAAAATTTCTGAAAAATCCAAAGGTCCAAAAGAAAACTTCTCAGTGAGAATGTCTGTTTCAATAAGATACCCTATTTTGTAGTATTGGACCCACAGAATTTCTAGTTAGACATAAATAAGTCTTGCCAGAATTACTGTAGTTCAGTTTTGCTGTCTGCATCTAGAAATACGGAAGACAGCTATGTTACTGGTTACGACTCCACAGTAATGAGTAATGAAAATTCCTACTTATCATTTCTACATCAACACCAGTGTGACTCAAAAAAAAAGCATGATTTACCTGGCAAACACTCCTGTTACACAGAATCCAAAGAAATAAACACCTCAATCCATTCAGGAATGTTCCTTTCCCAATTAAGGTTTTGATGACTGCACCTAATACTGACTTTTTATCTTTTTCTGTTTGCATTTTAATTAAGTCTGTGTCAACTTTATTTTTATAATACAGTATGTTTATGTTTCCATATCTTAACTTCTTATCGTGGGGGTTCCTTTAATATTTAATGTTTTACCTTTTTCAGTTACTGGGAACATCTTGAAGCTTCTTTATTGATTTGCTTGGGTTGATTTTTTTCTGGACTGTGAAATTAGCCATTTGGCAATCATATTGCTAATATGCAAAAAGTTCTTATTTCAATTATAAGAGCAAATATAACCCATGATTATTAAGAAAACTGTTTTGCAAATTGGCCCTATATTTATTTCAGAATATAACCAAGTACCACAGGCTGAATTAAATGCTTAAGGATAAGAGCTTTTTTTTTTTATTTTGCGATTTAAAATAAAGGTAATCAAAGCTTCCTGCCAATCTAGGTGATTGTGAAATTTAATTACTAGTAGTTATTAAAACAAAGGTAAAGCAATTTCTTTTACACATAATTGAATATTCCAGAAGAAAATTTGTGAAGCGTTCTCAGAAAATGTATTTTTAAATTAATTGTAACCTGATTATTTCATTTATGTCTCAGTTGGTACCATAGAATAAACGGCACACCTGGGTGATGTAGTTCAACAGCAGCTAGTGAGAGCAAATTCTCAGGAAAATCCGATAACTTTGACCTTAATGCTGAGCAAATTATTAGATCTTTACTCTGCAAACACAACCATATCCAAATCTCCAACAGCTGTTCCTTTACGAGAAGTATAACCCATGTTGACTTCACCTCTCTCCATGCTGGATGCTACAGAATCAACTGTTCCTTTTTCACTGCTCAATTGCCCACATGTCCTAAGGCTTCCTAAGCTGTTCCATCAAACCCACTGCTACCTGAACAGAAAGAAAACTTCCTACATCAGCAACAGCAATGAGTGAGCTGGCAGCTCTGTGCATGATACTGCTTATGGGCCTGTAAGCCTAACTTTCCAGAAAGGAAAAGATAAGGGTTCCAAGAAAGAAAGTCAAAATAAGGCCATGAACTTACCCATCTCCAGGCCTTTCCCTAAGCTCTTCTCTTTCCTGAAATGTCTTTCCCTCCATCTGCTTTCCAGAAAAATTCTACTCATCCTTCAAGGCCTAACTCCTATGACATTTCCACTGACCCCTCTAATTTGAGTGAGGCAATCACTCTCCTCTGCACTCTCCTCCATAGAATTCGTTTTATCAAACTGGAGTAGAGGTTGCTGTTTGTGAGTTTGTCTCTGCTGCTGAATGATAAAGGAAAAGGATCTTGACTCATCTTTCCATGCCAAACATTCAGGAATATGCCTGAAACCTGGAAAACACTCGCATGCTTATTTAACGGAGCCCAAAATTCAAGATCAAATTTAGCATGATGAAAGAAGTGGATTGTATCTTTGTTGGATTCATGTCTGCACCTAAATTCTGAACCCATGAATGCCTTTTCATTCCTCGAAGGAGTAAAATTTATTCCCATTAAGCATTTATTAAATGCTAGGCCCTGTGCTAAATACTCTACACATATTATCTCATTTAATACCCAAGACACTCTATGAAGTAGGTCTTATTATCAGTATCAGGCTCATTTACAAATGAGCAAATTGAGGCTTGGAGAAGTTAAGCAACTCACTCCAAGATACCCAGCTGGTCGGTGGTGAAGCCAGAATTAAAAGACAATACTCCCAGAACTTCAGAGCTAGAGGGAACCCTACAATTATCTTCTTCCCTTAACCTTCTTAAAGCTGAGGTTTATAACTTACTGCCTGGCACACAGTAGGCTCTTGTAAGTAGTGATTAGTAGATTGATGGAGCGCCCTAATTTCTCAGATTCAGGCCTTCGCCTGAGAGATCCCAGCTGTCACCACAAATAGGCTCTATTCTTTCTGCCCAGCACCTCTCACAGGTGTGAATTGCTTGTGTCCTCTGAATTATTCATGATCCACACAATGGTAAGTGTGCTTAAAAAGAGAACTACAAAGCCGTATTTTTCAAGACAAAGTGCCTGATTAATTGGGGATTTAGGCAGTATAAACTCACCGGCTAGGTTGATTCATGCCAAACAATACGGCCGTGCTCACTTTTTGAATTTCAGTTTTCACATAAGTTCCCAGTTTCCCTTAGGATTAAACATCAGGGTAAATAAGCAGGAAAAAGAACCATCGTGGGCATCTATATCCTATCCGAAAAGCAATTACCGTCATCTAAATCGCATACTGGGTTGCTTCAGACCAAAGTATTCTTCCGAAGGCTGAGTTAAGATTTTCAATCAGGTTTCTTAAGCTACATCAAGATCTGCAATTTCAGATGCCACAGCAGCTGTAATTCATGCCACCAGTAAATCATGTGACACCATCAGCTCCTTGTCCTTTCTCCTTTCCTCTTTCCCTTTGCCCTACCAGTTCATTTTGCAGTGGGCAGTTTTCTGAGAGGGATAACCATATGCTAATAGAAAGCCAACACCGCTGTATTTTAAATTCAGTGTTAGTCAACCAAAATGAATTGAAAAACAGCAGCGTGGTTTGAGGGTACTAAAAATATGCTGTAGCATTTGCTGAGTTCTCAGAATTAAAACCACCGGCGGTCAACTTGTTGCTGCTCTTCATAAGCTATGACTTCTGCCCCACTGGCTGCTACTACCAGAAGCTTGAACTATATCACACACCTAACAACACCGTGTTTTTTATCAGTTGGCAGTGATCAAGAAAGGAAGTGTTATTTCCCTGGAACTGAACCTGCCAAGAAAGGTAACAGATGGCTTTCAAGAGATCACCTTGTGCCACGTCACAGTTGCATGCATCTTAGTCAAATTCACTTTGCATTTATGATTTAATGAGTTACACATCTAAAGCTGTGGTTGCCTTTATGCCCAGTTTGCTATCCAATGCCTCCAAAAAGGTGTTTCTTCCTTTAATTTTTTAATAATAGTAAAACCAGCCCAATGGGACTTAATGTAATGTTAATATATCGAGCACTTCCATTAGGACTTCATGACCTTCTTGACCCTTAAATATCGTATACTACACTAAATGTCTTAGCAGCCATCCCTTTGGGTTTGTCATTAAAGTTTTCAATGACCAGAGAGGTAGAGGAATTCTACCTAATGCATCATTCTGATTAGAAACCTGTCATACTCAGAAACCAGTGGGTCTGCTTCTATTGACTCCTATTCCCTCGGATTCAATAGCATTTTTTTTCCCCTCTTCAATTAGACCCAATGAGCAACCATAGAAAAGCTGAAAGAAGCCTTCCCTTTTTGCTCAACCATACTTAAAAGGAAAAAAAAAATGTATGCCTTGCTAGTGAAATTACAGACAGTAGTATCAGATAATGTCTAAGGATTCAGTCTCTCTCTCTCTCTCTCTCTCTCTCTCTCACACACACACACACATATCCCACTTGTAAATATGCCAAGAGTCAGAGGCTGGGCTCGACCTCCCTTCCCCTAACCCACTTCAATCAGGATCAGAAAGACACTTCCCTTCATTGCTGCTGTCTCAAACCCATGCCCAAACGAGTTTGTCTCCAAGGAGGTAATTTCTGAAACAAACAAAGAAAATCAAGTCTGCTTGGAGCGAGGGGTTTGCTCCCCTCTGCTCTGGATTTCGGTGCCCAGGGTCACGGGCGCAGCGCGGCAAACAGGTCGGGGCGCTCAGCTTCGCCCCAACCTTCCCCGCCCCGCCAGTCCCAGCTCCCGCTGCGCCAGAAAGTGCGAGCCTGCCCGCTCCTTTCGCTTTTCGCCCGCTGCGCCCCAAGCCCCAGAACACCCGCGTCCGCACAGAAGGCTCTGTCGCTCTCCCACCTCTGCGCTGTCAGATGTCAGGCGCGGGGTGCTCTGGGCACCGAGGTGCTGGCGAACTAAACAAGTGTCACCCGGACGCCTGCCCCGACTTCGAGAGAGCGGGCGGGACGGCCACAGGTAGGCTCTGTCCATCCCAGGGTGCGGGGAGAGGGCGAGGGGGCGAGACCCACCGCGGCAGCCGCGCCCGACGGGCTGAAACTCACCGGAGGACACCGAGGAGCCGGACAGGCTGGAGTTGCTGGACGCTGCCATCTCCGCGCGCCCCTCGCGTCGCTGCTTGCTCAGCCCCGGTGCGGGCACCGCCGCCGCTGCCCTCGCCCGGCCGCTCGCAGCCTCCGCGGCCCCCAGCCCATGGCAAAGTCCTGGGGACGCGCAGAAAGCACCAGCCTCCGGACTCTGCCTGCACTTCCTGCTCCACCAGATGACGCGCTGCCGCCGCCGCTATTTATTTGTGGTTTCCGTCCCGCTCCGCGTCTTTGCACGCTTTTCTCCGGGTGTCGGGGGTAGGTGGGAGCAGAGGGAGGCCGAGGGGCGGCCGGGACGGGCGGATCTCGGCTCCCGCCGAGCCCCTCTGCCGTCCGCGCTCCCTCGTGCGCGGCTGGGACCAGGGCGTCCCGGCGGCCCCGAGCGCCCCGCCAGCTCCCGCACCCTTTCCTGGGCTCCCGCCTCTCCCGCCGCACTTCGAGTAGCCCGGGCAGAGGCGGCGGGAGACAGACCGACAGAGCGACCTCCCCCTTCTCCCTCCGCCCCAACTCCGCTCGCGCGCACACAAAGGAAGGAGCGGAGACGCGGGAGCTCTGGGGCTGGTTCGGCTGCCGCGGGCTTGACAGCTCCCGCCACTGGGGCTGGAGGGGGAGGCTGCGGACTGCAGGACAGCGGGAGGCGGGACGGGGGAGCGGGTCTCTGGGGTGCTGGGGAGGCCAGCGGGGGGCGCGGGGCGAGCGCGGCTGCTTGCGCAGGGCTGCTCCCAGGGTTTGAAGGGGATGGAGAGGGAGGGTGTGGGGGAAGGTAGTGGGGCTCGCCGCGCCCCGCTGGGCTCTCGAGCGGCGAGACAGTGGGGGTGGGGGATCCAGAGGACGAAGGCGGGATCACTAGGGCCACGGTGCTAGGCAGAAGGGACCCTGGGATGCCAGAGCCACTGGGGAACGCTCTTTCCACTCCCCTCCAAATTGTCCTTTGTTGCTCTGGAGCTGACAGCCCCTGCCCTGCAAGAAGGTGCCTTTCCTAAAACACCCGGGAAGCCAACTCAGCTACACTTAAGTACCCTAGCCACGGCAGTGCCGGACGCGTCCGTGGGCCTCTGGGGTTGGCCTTCAAAGAAATAGAGCCGTCCTAACGTGTCATCAGGCCCACACAAAGCCTGGTGTCAAAGAGAAAGAGGTTCTCCGAGACTGTGCCTTACAAAAGACTGAAGACTTGGCAGCAGGTCCGACTGTTCCCTTTTAGGATAGGAGCTGCTCAGGTGTGTGAGAGAAAGAGATTTGATCACGAGGTGCGTCCCTTCCCCCGTATTTAAACCTAAATTAATTTCACTGGGACGAAATATCATGCAGATTTTTTAAAGTCTGTTTCACGTTCCCCGCGGGCTAATCAGTTATTTCAATCCTAAAGCAACAGAAAACTGTGAAATTTGAAGAGAAATTGTTAGATCAAAGGAAAAAGCAAACATTAAAGGAATGAAAGTACTCTCATTATATAGCAAAATGGAAAGTGTTCACATTGGGGTAGTTCAACTTTTTAAAGCATGGTTAAAAGGGCACAGTCAATTTAAAAATTATCAGGAGTGACACAGAACAGCAGCTAGGCCCTGGGGATCCACATCAACCAAGCACCTAACCTACAGTGAATCGTGAATCTTAAATAATCACAATGTGCATCACGTCACATTTTCTAGTCGATTAGAACTTAAAAAAAAAATTCCCTCCAGGATGCTATCCCAGTGTGTCTTCCTATTAAGGTCCGTTTTAAAAAAATGCAACTTGCTAAATTGTTAGAGGAGTGTGAGCAATCTCCAGTCATGTGGGACTCTGTCTTCCTGTGTCTTCTTCATCTGCATGGACCTTGAAACAGCCCTAGCTGGTCTAATGAGACCCAAGTGCCACCACTTTCCCAGCCCCCTAACCACTATCCTTCATTTTGTGGACTGTAGGAACTGATGCAGTGCCTAATCTGGACATGTGACCCATCACACACTTGATTTGTCCATCAAAAGGAACTTACTGTTTCCCCAGAGTTCTTCTGATTGGTAGAAAGCAGCACTTACCTGTTTGACTAGTAATCTATGTATCCCCCCAGATCTTTAGATGGCAGACCATCTGACTTGGCTATGTCACCCAGTAGAATTGTTACCATCTGGGCTTCGAAGACAACTGGGTTCAAACTCTGGTTCTGTCACTTAGCTGCGACTTTGAGCAAATTACTTACACCTACTGAGCCTCAGTTTCTCTATCTGCCGCAAAAATCTGATCACACAGGATGTTGTGAAGATTAAGATGCTATGTGGGCCGGGTGCATTGACTCTCACCTGGAATACCAGCATTTTGGAAGGCCAAGGCAGACAGATCACCTGAGGTCAGGTGTTCAAGACCAGTCTGGCCAACATGGAGAAACCCCTTCTTTTCTAAAAATACAAAATTAGCTGGGTATGGTGGCGTATGCCTGTAATCCCAGCTACTCGGGAGTCTGAGGCAGGAGAATTGCTAGAACTTGGGAGGCAGAGGTTGCGGCGAGCTGAGATAGCGCCATTGCACTCCAGCCTGGGCAACAAAAGCAAAACTGCACCTAAAAAAAAAAAAAAAAAATGCTATGTGGAAAGCTGCAGTTTTCCAAAGTGATTATAAGTTGCTTACTTTAAGGAAACAATGCATAGTTTGAACAACTTTTGCTTTCTTCATTGCATCTGGAGATAACTAATCAACTGTGACCTGTTCTTCTAGGGGTAGGGGGAAATGTCTTATCTTCAACCTATGGTTTATATTTCTTGTCTCAAATTGTGCAATGGGGTAACAGGTTTCATTATTCATCTCTGAAATTTCACAAAAGGACGACAGATTCTGTTTCTGCAGTTTGGATACTCATATTTGCCTTCATAGAGTTTTTAATGGCCCTGTGAGGCAGATTATTTTGATGTCCTAAATTGACAGGCAAAGGTGGTGGGGCGGTGCTTGTTGTGAAGGTACTACCTGAAGTCCACCCTGTGCTGTAGAGAAGAATAAAAAAGCTGAGCCTCATGTTTTCCTGGGTCCTGGAGCCAGAGAGGGATACAAGGCCAACAAACATCCTTTCTGAATAGAGATGTCCTGATGGACGGGCCCAGTCTTTGGGTAGATGAGCCAAAACTTTGACAGCCATTGTTTTGAATAGCAAACAGAAAGCTCCAGGTTCAGAACTAAAATCTGAAAGTTGATTCATCATCTGGATTGATGAGGTCATAGCCAATGGAGAAAACTCAGCATGAATAGTCGTTCACTATCATCCTTTTTAGATTCAGGAGCCTAAAGGCTGGCTGCCCCTTGCAAAAATGTTTAGTATCAGTAAATTATCTATCAGGACATGCTGGAAATAAAATGCTGACACCCCTCTTTGGTAGGCTCAAGGGCCTGTTTGTGGACCTTCTAAAGTATTTCTCCAAATGGAACAATGAAAAAGTTATCTATGTTATTCATTTATTGCCTTTGTTCTAGGTAATACCTATTTGCTAGTGGAAAGGAGAATATTGGTGCTACAGAAATCTTAAGTGTTTAGAAAGTAGAATTTTTAAAGACATTTCTACCTTTGTTCCTCAAATATTAAAGGACTTAGGGGATAAAAGGAGTCTTGTGGATAATGTGGTCTTAAGAATAAAAATTATTTTATTTTAACTTAGCTTTCACATGGCATTCAAAGCCTTCCAAACTTACCTTTCCGATCCAATCTCTGTTCCCCCCTTTCACAAATGCAACCCTCTTTCACTGTGGCCTATGCTCTTGGGCCTGGCAGTACTGGATTCTGCCATTCCTTTCTGCTTCCCATCCTACATACTATAAAGATTCAACTAGAATGAGCCTTTTCTGGAAAGTCTTCCCTGATTGCCAAGCCAGAAAATAGCTCTTCTGCTGAATTTCTCTAGTCCATCTACTATACCTCTCAATGGGCAGATCTTGTGCTCTGTCTTGTTTTAATGGTAGTTTTCATATACATTTCGGGTCCCTAGTCCATTAATTGCAGGCCTGGCATGGTGGCTCATGCCTGTAATCCCAGTGGCTCAATAAGTTGAGGCGGGAGGATCCCTTGAGGCCAGGAGTTTAAGACCTGATCAACATGGTGAGACCTCATCTCTAAAATCATAAAACAAAACAAACAAACAAAAAAATTAGCCAGGTGTGGTGGTAAATCTGTAGTCCTAGCTACTTGGGAGGCTGACGGGGGAGAACTGCTTGAGTCCAGGAGTTCAAGGATGCAGTGAGCTGCAATGGGGGCAGGATCCTTGTTTGCCCAGCTCCTGTATTGTCACCATGCTTTGCATACAATAGTTGCTCAGTGGATGTTGTTCAGTAGCTCACTCATTGAATAAATGAGCAAGTGAAGGACATCTGTACATCTCTCCTATGCCAGTTACTTTCCACCTCAGTAGCTGTCACCACTGAGCTACAAGACAATGAGTAACATCTGTAGCACAAAAAGAACTTGATACTCATGTAAGGATACTCCCTTTGCTGTGAACAAAAAACACTGAAACAGTGAAAATAGGAATACAATTTTGATGGAGTAAATATTTGCAATCCCCACCCCACCCTCCGTCGCCAGCTGTTACAGCTCACATGATTTATTGTTCGCAGGGTAGCTCTTCTGGTGGTGTCATTTGTTTATTTTGTTTCACCATTCTTTTGAAGTTTAAAAGCAGACAAGAAAGCACTGCAGGGTGAATGTGGCTGTTGAGGTAGGAGCTGTGCTCCCTCACTGCAGGCACGCTGGGGGGTTCCTTAGTGAAGGTCATCATTCCCTTTCCCTGTGCTAAACACAGAATGAAATACTGTATTTCTTACTTTCAAGATTAATCCAGTGGTCCGCATTCACAGGAGAATAGTGGGGCTATTTGTCAACTTAGCTTTAAATATTTTATGGCATATACTCTACTGTACCCTGAAAGTGGTCCTTTGGCCATCAATTTCTCAACATCAATATGCGCTTTTGCTGTAGTGAAAAATATTTTCCACTGTAGTTTCAGCCCTATTTCAAATACAAAGACACCTAGTCCCGAGAAAGAAAACGCATTGGCTCCTCTGAGGCAGGCATCACTAGGGGCAGGAGCTGAGAAACCCGCTGTTTCCTCCGCAGGTGCTTAGAAGGCCCAGGATGGGCTGGTGAGCGGGCAGCTCAGACGCCGCAGGTAGCGGCCGTGCCTTTGAACAAAGAGGAGTCCACACCTGGGGTGCAGACAAAGGGAGGCCGCCTCTGCTACCCAATTCCCATTTCACAACGCCTGCTGCTGGGGACCCCTAGTGG